GAGATATTGCAATATTTTTCTTTTAAATCAAGCTTAACTTTTAATACCCTCACATCTTTTCCCTGCTGATGTTCACTTATTTTGTAATCTCATAGAATAGAAAAGCTAGGCTACAGTCAGAACAAGAAATGTCATGTGTGAACATCACAGACAAAAAGGGGCTCCTAATCCATTCTAGGCAGTAATCTGAGTCGGATTTTGTAGATGCTACTGTCACAGGAAAACCCAGGCTGAGATTAGAGAGACCCAAAACTTCTTTAAGGAATTTTAAATCTCAAAGATTCAAAAAACCTTTTGGAGTATTTTTTCTTCCCTGAGGCTTCAAGAGACTTATCAGTGTTTGAAGCCAAGCAAAATTCATATTTAGCACTGAGCAAAGCAAACCAGTTATTTCAGCCAAGCTATGTTTTGGCATTGGTCAAACCCCAAGCTCACGGCAGCGATGCTGGGTGACATGCCACAGCTAGTGAAACAATCCCAAAATTAATGGAGCTCTGTGTGAGCTGACATACCTACGTTTTCCTCAGCTCTGAGATTTTCATCTACAGCAGCATTTCGTTTCTTGAAACTATCCTCTTCCATCAATTTTGACTTCAGGAGTGGATTCAGCCCTAATTTTGTGCATCTTTATCATAGCTACCAACCTTTCCCTTCCTTTACAGTCAGGAAAGACTAACAGGCACTTCCGAGGTGCAGTTCAGACTGCGTTAGATGCTTTCATTAGGCTGAGGTCAATCATGCCCAAGAATTGCTCTTAGTATATAAGGAGGCCAACTCAGAGGCAGAAGCCCACACTGTAAAAATTTGTATCAGATGAATCCTGCTCCGTTTGATTGTCAAGAAATTCTACATATTTGGAAGAATTTCAAGATGATGTAACATGTTTTGATGCATAATCCTTCACATCTGAAAATCTCTCCTTCCTTACAAGTCTAAAGGCAATGTTGATTGTTGTTTATCTTAACACTGTGCAAAGCAATTGGTTTACTTGTTTCTCATTATTCAGCTCCAAATTATTAGCAAAGCAAATATCTGCCTATTGAATCCAAATATATTTGATACACCAGAAACCTCCTGCTCTAAGCTCCACTCCTATAATGACCTTTGCTTCCTAAAATCATCATGAAAATTATAGTGGCCCTTGAAAGGAAGAATTCATGCAAAGCAGCCCCCAGTGCTTTTTAAGATGAAGAGTAAGGGCAACCTCAGAAGAAAATGAGGTTAAGATTCAACTGGCTAGCAGAGACTGGGGTTTAGTTTCGGTTGTCAGATGAGAAGAAAGGGCAGGACTTGTTTATTTAGTCCACCCCTTGGTTTAAGCAGCAACGTGACAAGTTATGCAAAGGGGACCAGTTTATTCTCATATAGATGCAGTTTGGAAGAGTTCCTCTGAGATGTTTTGGTGTTGGAAGGAAGGGTGGGAGGGGCAGAAAGGTCTCTCTACAGACTACGTCCTGACTACATAAACACCTCTTTGGCTGGTTAATGGAGCAGCAGAAGCGCTTGGCACAGCAGCAGTGGCGAGCTTCACCTTCTCAGCTGGAGGAGCAGCCCACAATCGCTGCCATCACAGAGCGCAATGGCTTATTAAAGGAATAAAGACAAAACTGTACTTGATTTCCAGAACGGAGGGGCAGGAAATCCTCCTGACCCTGTCAAGGCTTTACTGATCTTAATGGGTCTGCCATAGAGAAAAGCTCTGCTTGAACAGCGGAGGGGTGCTGCTCCAGAGGGATGAGTTCAAAAACACCAGCTCAGAAACATTAATAAAAACAGTTCCCACTGTTTCTTCATCAGAGCTTAAAAGAAACAGCGTACCGCGGAGCACGCTGGCAAAATCTGTACGCATATACCGTAAAATACACGTAGGCTCATTTCTATGAACTAGTAACTGACAGTTTCTTGGACAATGGGTGAATGTGTTAAGATAACCAGTTTCTGGCATAAGTAGACCCCATAAAGAGGGCTTAATGGTTATTTCTAATCTCCTGGAAGATTGTACAAATGAAAAAAATGAAGTTAATCACCAAGGAAAATCACCAATGAAGTAATACATCTTTTGTTAAATATTAATTATATTTAATTTTTCCCCATCACAGAATTTGCAAGGTTCTCATGAATCAAGGATTAATTCGGAGGTTTTTAGTTATCCTCTGCTGTGAATGGATCCCTTCTCAGTGGAGAGTGAATGAATTTATTTTGTATCAGCTCTCTGCTTGAAAAGAAAATCCTTCGTAAAAGAACTGGCAATCTTTGCCAAAGAAATCCAGACCGAGTGAAACATTTCATTGTTCAGGCTGTTACATCCTAATGAGTTCTGCATCTAAGCGCTTCTGATTTTTTTTCCATCCGATCCAGCAGTAGCATAGCAGTTTATGCACTTAAATGTATGAGACTTGTTTGGAAGGAAGATTTGTATTAAAGGCAGGCAGCATGTTCCACAGTTTTAGTATAACATCTGTTATTATCATTCAGTGCTGCTCTTAGCCCAGCATGCCCTTCCTCTAAATATCTTATTAATTAAACTGGCTTAGTAGGAAAATAATTAATACTTTAAGTCCTGTACCTACTTAGAAAGGATTTAGAAACTGAAAAAAAATAATTGTTTTAGTCTGAGCTTCAAAGTTGGGGGTTTTTTTCATTCTTGAGCAGAAGGAGATTATAACCAAAAGGGAGTATCTGAAAAGCCTGTGTATATATAATCTTCCAAAAATTTATAGCCTATCTTCGAAATTCTGCTAGAGTACAAAACCAGTCCATGGATTTGAGAAGTCTTGGTCAATACTTGAGTGTCTTCCCCAGCAACAGTTTTAGGAGAGGTGCTCCTGCACTTCCTCAAAATGTCCTACTAACCTTGTTTAGCACTTAATCCTGCAGAAGTCTTATCTCCAATCCACAAAATTACTGTGTTTCTTACCACTGCTTTAATAATGTGATGGGACTTCCTAGCCGTGAAGTCGGTAGTCACACTACTACCTTGTGTAGCCAGCTGTTGACTAGGCAGGAGGGTGAGATGGTGAACTCAGGTGAGTGCCAGTGATTTTGTATGTAATACGGGAATCTGTTACTTAGCTATATCTAAAGTAAAGTACAGAAATAGCAGTATTTGCCCCTGTCTTTGTTTTGTGGACAGTGCTGCTGTCTATATGCAAAAACTGCTGCTTTGCTGCTGTTTCACCCAATTTGATATCCCACTGAAGAACAAGCTCGGACAGACTGGGTGCTGTTCCCTGCTCACACTAAAAGAAAATTACACTTGGAAAAGGTGTTGGGTGCCGCCAAATTGCTCTTTAAAGTCAACCAGGGTTTTAACAATTTATTTGATGGGAGAAAGCTTGGGAGTTAGCTGTAGCTTGTTTTGGCCTTTTTTTTTTTTTTTTTTTTTTTGGAGGGAGTGGGGGCAGCTGTTAAGGAGGAAGGGGGGAAAGCTTTAAATACCCTACCAGAACAGGGCCCTTTCAGTGCAGGGAAAAGGCAGATTGGGAAGCAGTCTGCAATGTGACTCCAGAGTCTGATTGTTGGGTATTTCTTTTCAAAAGCCTATCAGAAACTTAGAAATTGAAGTTTCCTTGAAAGTCGGTGAGGTGCATAAAGCACTTCTTCAAATGGGGCTAAGGCACTCTGGAAAATGCTGTGGCTGTTATGTTAACAGCCTCAAAAATAAAACTATACTCTGTGGCTGGCTAACGGGTATGGGGTTTTGTGCCTCAGCAAAGGGACCTGCCATTAATTCTGGTCAATGCTGAAATTCAGAGAGTGTGTTTAGGGGAGACCAGGGGTTTTATTAGCTACTGACTGTACCTACTGATGATCTTTGTCCTCAAGAACACATGTTCAAAACTGATTTTAAAAATGGGGAAGCCTAAATTTATCTTATGGAAAAGAGTGAAGCAGGGCTGGCCTTGTTCGTACTAAGCTGTACGTATCTCACAGCAAGTTAAGTTGCAATGAGTGCAGTATGTCTGCATAAGCATAGCTAATTCACCAAGTATACTGTGCCCCTGCGGGAGCTGCAGCATGCAGGTTACACCCACATGTTTTCAGGGATGAAGAGGGGGTTTTGAAGCCTCTTTTGCTTTAAATCCGCCTCGGGCAGACTGGAGATGCTAAGTCCCGGTTCATTTGTGTGTGCGTGCATCTGCGCTGGGTCTGATAGGGGAGCATATGGCAGAAGCGATTCGCCCTTGACTGTGCCTCTTTTTTGGCAGGCGCAGGCATGTTTCTTGCAGAGCGCACGCAGTCGCAGCCACTCCTGCACATCACTTCTTGCGCCCCTTGCTTGCTGGCTTTCAGCTCTTTGCCTGAATGCATGTCCTTTGTGGTGTTTTGGTTAATTGGACATTGTTTTAATTACTGCTGAACTAAACAAACATGAAATTTCTAGCTGTCTTTTTGCCGCCCCAGTGACCACGGTCTCCAAGCAGCCAGTACAGGACTCGAGCTGTTCAGACCTGGTGTAAATTATAGTGGCTCTCATGGAGTTTCCCGCATTTACACCTTTTTTGGGGAAAACACCCACTCTGCCAGGGAGGAGAAGGCTCCATTAAACAGGTCTTTTTCTGCACTGTCCTAAACGCCTTGCTCTGCCCTCACTGGAGTTAGTGGGAAACAAGCCTTGGCTTCAACGCAGCAGAGGTGCCAGTCCTCTACCGTGGCACTGGGGATCTTTCATTGGCGTGATCCTTCACGTTGCCTCCTTTCTTACTTTCCCTCTCCAGCTTCTGTGCTAATTGCCTTTTTCTCCCTTTGCCGTCTCTAATTCTCCACAACAAAGCTTGGGGCATGTGTCAAAATTAAGCAGTGGGAATGGAGAGATGCCCTCAGATAGGTCAGTCTATAGCCATTTCTGTCAGTAACGGCCGCACTGTAGCAGCAGGCAGATTCTCTGGACTGCCAGTAGCCTTTATTTTGAGATGCTAATTTGCCACTGACTTGAAGAGGAGAAAAAGCATTTTTAAATGCCTTAAAAGGCATAGAGCCTTTTAAAACAATCATTTTTCTTCTTTTCTATTTATATTGACGCTTCTCCTTTGCTTACAGCTTTGGAAAGAAAAATATCAATGAGACAAAGCAGAGAGGAGCTTATAAAACGAGGAGTGCTGAAAGAAATTTTTGATAAAGGTAAGTGTTCTTCTTTTCACAACATTAAATTGACATCCCATATAGTTTTATGGCCAGATATTATATTATTGTAACACTAGGAACGGGGAATACAGTCCTGAATTGCAGGACTGTGCAGAATAAGGTCTTCAACCATGTCTTGATTTCACCGTGGGCTGGCCCTCTCCGTTGGATACATGTGAGAGTTACCTAGCAAATAAAACTGAAAACTAATCAGAAATGTAAAGCAGTAGAAATATAAATCACAGCAATGTGCGGTAGTCACTTGCTGCAAAACAGCGAGGCATCCAGGCTGCGGGGAGATGGAGTGAGTCTGTGCCTGTATGCGTTATCATTGTCTGGTTGAGTCACTCCGGGATTAACTATTGTGGAAAAGGAAAACGTTTAAAGGTTTTGGATCCTGATGAGCACAGAACAGTGCACATTCCCTTGAAACAGCTTGGAAGACATAATAATAATAATTCCTTGTTCAGGATAATTAATTTGTTGAGTTAGTAATGTATTAATTATGCAAAATGCCATTGTTTGCCAAACACCATTGTTTTACACTGGTAATGCAACGCATATTTGACAACTATTACATATGTGTCAATCTTTAACCGCAGCTTTTATTTGTTTTGCTGCTTCCTTTGTCAATAACTAAGGCAATTAATTCAGCAAATTGTGTAAAGACATGCCAAAGTTGCCTCTTAATTTCAACAGAACTTATGCATGTACTTTAAAGCCTTGTTAATTCAAACTCCAAAAGTCTTTAACAATACCAGTGCAAAACCTGTTGGAAGTGAGTAGACGTTTTACATTTTCACAGATAGTAGAAGTAGGTTCTACTTCACAAAGGCTAGAGCATGTACATCTGCTACCTATTTTTTCAGTCTAGCTTACTGGGAATTTGAAAATTTACTAAGCCAAACTGTTCATTAAGTGAAAAAAATAAAAAACATTGCAAAACCAAAGAAATACGCTGCTAGTCATTACATTTTACAGTTTTTACCCGTTATCTATTTTAGCTGTTTCTAATCCTTTAGAACTAACACAGCCTGTGCTCTCAGTATGACCTGCTGGAAGTCATCCTAGATGTAACTTCAGGGTAGAAACAACTCCTAGTAGAAGGTTTGCCCTTCTCACTACTTTGGGCTGTCAACCTTTTGGAGTGTGACTCAGATGGGATGCACGGCCATGAGGCAGGCATCCCCGCAGCCAGCGAGGCACAGCCCAGGCTGTTACGCCAAGCGTGGCACAGCCCAGGGCGTAGCTCCGCGTTCAGCACCCTGGCCGGCTCAGAAGTCAGCCTTCGGTCACACCACCACCCAGGGTGTGTGCTCCTTCATCCCTGCCTCGCATCCCACACGTCATAGCTGGTTTCTGACCCATCCCTACACATACCTAAAGGCATCCCCAGGAAAAATCTTTCCTGTGCAGCCTGATCCTGCCCTCCATGTCGCTACCAAAGTGTTGCAGCTTTCTCCATTCATCATATAATGGTTTAGTTTGCAATCTTCTGTGTCATCTTGTGAAGCAGATGCTAAGCTGTCTGGAGGTCTTCATCTGAAAAAAAAGAAATTAATTCCTCTCTATAGTCATTTTTCAGCTTTTCTTATCAGAAGAAGCCAGTATGAAACACATGCTGCTTCTTCCTATTTCCAGTGCAAAAAACAGAGGCATCAGACTTTTTCACTGCCAGGTGCCACTAAAAGGGAAACTACAATGCAAAACAGCTATCCTACATTATTTCCTGATGGAAATATTTCCTGACAGGAAGCTAAGAACTGGTATCCCTCCTTGAAAGAAAGAGGTAGGGCAGAGAAGAAAGTGGTAATACGCAAGAATAGTAGAAGTGATCGAGTAGCTTTGATGATACAAGGACATGGGTAAGGCTAGAAGTCTGGAGCAAAAGAGGTATTTCCTTCAGTGGCATATTAATCCAAGAGTGACTCTAATAAAGGATATTATATCTCACTGTGAACCTTAAGTGGAAGTAACATTTTCCTTGTAATTCCTGTTAGGAAACCTCTAGTTCTTCAAGAAAGCACAGCAGACTTTAGCATTTCATAGCAGAAGGCTTTATTTGATGATGGTAACACCTTCTGTGCCAAGAGGCATCTTGCACAGACAGTAGGTGTAGCCATAATGTTAAATCTCTTTGTCTCCCTTTCTGAAGAGGTGGCCAAAACAGAATCAGCCTGTGAGTAATTTTGCCTTTTTCTTTCTTCAAAAAATCCATACAGATCAAAGGAAACTTAGTATGGACAGACTGACCCAAGAACAAAAATTCTGGAGCTTGCAATGTGCTTATTATTGGGTTTGTCCTATTTTCTATGTTGAAAAAACCGGAATTAGCTAGTTTGTTTGCCTGCTGTTTAAAATGACACTCTGACCTGTTTGCTTCAGGATTTGTTGGCTTTTCAGAGGACTTTGTGTCATCCAGCAGGTGAAAGTTAGCAGAGTGCAGTAAGACACAGTGTTCACACATGGGAAAGTCACTGCAGTCCAGCTGCTATATTTGGGAAACAAGAAATGCTTTTATCACTTCAGTGACCCCCATGCTTAAACTAGTCAAGTGAAACCACTCCAGACTGAGCTGCAGAGAGCTCTTTTCTTGGCAAGGGCCAGGCTCATGACTGAATCAGTTTCTGTCATCTTCCATTTCCAGGGTTCTGTGACTCGAGCCTTCTGAAAATGTAAGCAGAGGTTGTAATTTTTTCAAATAATTGTACTTCTGGAAAAACAGTAAGTTGAAGAAGTAGCTGATGAGGCACCTGCTGTTCTAATAGTTTGTGGGCAGGCTTTTTAACTGAGAGGTTAGAAATACACCTTCTACCCGCGACGCAGAACATACCACAGTATTTAGAACAACTCACATTTTTGCTATACTACTGTTGCTACAGATAGATAAACAGCTTTGATTTTCACATGAAGGTGTAACCATCTCAAAAGCTTCTGTCTTTAGAATTGCCCACTGATCCATGGTGACGGTCAAGGAATTAAATCTGCTTGTAGTATTTTGATACTTTTTCTTTTATCTGAACATAGATAAGGTTGCCTATAGTGAGAAATTTCTGAATATGAATGTGTACTTATTGCTTGCTTCAGAGGCAATGATTCTTCCGAGAAGCATGGGCAGTTTTCATCTTTTGTACTTTTATATTTTTATACTCTCTACCTAATCAAAATGATAGAACCTAAATTTCAGGTTACCTGAATCCTGGCAGGATTTGGACATGTTGCACTTACGTGCTCAGACAGGTTTTGTGGCAGTATGAGAGCAAAAGTTTGAAGAAGTGGCTTTGGTAATGCAGCAAGGAGGAAGGCATGGCAGCCACCGGAGAGCTGCAGTGAAATCATATGTTGAAAAGTTCTGAACTCCTCCAGAAGCAAGGAGGACATCCATATGTCAACCTGTCTCAAACTCTATAGGATCCCACAAAATCAGGGATCTGCTTAGGGACTGAAGTTAAGGGGATCCTAGCCACTGTGCTAAGGTAGCCACCAAGGCTAGGAAACAGGCTCAGGGACAGATCTTGACCACATACAAGAACAAACACTCAGTTTTCCATCCCCTAGCCCATAGATGCCATGGAACAGAAGGACTTGAATTTTTCTCTGCCCTTGCTAGCCTTTGCCATCGAGAATGCTTGCCTGGATAGTCTTGCTTGAGAGCAGGCAAGTACTGAAGGAGACAACCCATAGTGGAAAATAACCCATTTCAAACTCTCCTCATCATTTTGACTTCCATAGCCATTTGTCGGTGGAAGGAGCGCAGGTGTTCAGAGTGGAAGGACACGGTGAGAGGGTAGGCAGAGCTCCAACATAAAGAACATCAAAAGGACTGGCCTGTGTCAGTCAGCATGATGCACTGTGGGCTGCTTCGCACCAGGCAATTTTTAAAAAGTACCTGAAAGTGCAAATAGCAGGTGAGTTCAGGAGTACAAACCATGCTTAGGGGCCACATGTTTTGAACATATCATCTATGCATTTCTGGGCCTTCACCCTATGCTGTTATTTTCACATGCTAAGGTGAATCAAAGTGTCTGGGTAGAGTCCTCTGCATCAGAGAGCTTCCTCTGAGGTCATGTTTCTTCAGTGACTTCAGGTATGGGGAGCCTCCGGAGTAACAGAAGAGCAGCCTTCAGGTGCCCCTGTTGCTGCAGAGGTCAAGCTATTCTCTCTGGTCCCGTGCAGATTCACACTCAGCCACCATTATCAAAGCCCATGCATTTAGAGGGAGTCATTCTCCACTAAGTAGCAGCAGGCTCTGGGAAGACACAGCAAAAGATATAACAAGTGTGAGAACAAAAGATTATATATGTTATCACTGTGCAAAATTAACTTTAAACTCATAGCCGGTTTCTGTAGACTAATCAATTCATCCATGTATATGTAATAATTGCATCACCAGCATTCTTTTCATTTGTGTGTCAACTAACCAGAGTAGCTTTTAGTACTTTAAAAATAATAACTAATTTGCCTTTTATATCTGGTTGTCAAGCATGTCTCTGATCCAGGATTAATTCACACTAAGATATTCTTCACTCTACAAATCACTTTATCCGCATCTTTAATCTGTTTGCTGTACTTGAGCTGCTCCCCAAGTAGCTCTCCTTTAAGCAAGATCAGATTTAGGGTGTATATTTCAGTCATGATTCTCTGTCATGTCTGGTGATTTCCGTCAAATCCAAGGACAAGTTTTAGAGTCTAAATGAAGACTGGAGGTATTCAGAGGGAAGATTAAAAGAGGTTATGCTGTCCGTACAGAAAGCTGTCCTGCTTGTTGTTGTGGCAAAAAGCAAAAGCCAAAATTTTATCTCACGTTCTACTTTTTTTGCAATCGTAAACCTTCAGCAGGTCATTTGAATACTATCTTCTTAAATCGTGCTGAATATACCTTGGGAAGTGCAAGGTGCACTTAAGAGAGCAAGGTTTCAAGGTGGTCAGAATGTTACGGTAGGCATCCCGCTTCATTAAAAATGTGCAGACATCCCTCCAAAACCTAAATGTTACTGGTTTTCCCATGCATACTTTTTGTCTGCTCACAGTTACGGTCAAATTTAGTCCTGCACTGAATTAATGAATATTGCTGGACACAATCACTGCCTTTCATTCAAGAAGGAGTTGCTCTGCATAAGAAACAGTTACACTCTTAACTGAGACAACAGCAGCCCCTATCCCAAACGTGTGTACAGGTGTGTGTTTATCAAAGGGAGACAGAGCAAGCTCAGAATACACAGCATTTCCACCCAAATAGCTAAGTCAAAAAACATTGAGCTTAAATACTGGCTGAACTGTTGTTTGATTTTTGCTGCCTAGGGAAATAAACGGGTTTGTATTCAATGACCACAGCAGTTAGGAGGAGACTGTGCTGCGAACAATTGGCCAAAACCTTCAGGTTTGATTAATGTTGCCACCTTTTATCCAGCTCAGTTGATTGCTCTGAAAGCCGTAGGTCGGGTTTCAGTCTAGTATGATGTGGCTGTGTACTATAATAGCTCTTGAGGTCTTCAGAAAGCCTCCAACAAAACCAAGAAAGTCAAGACCTTGGTATTTCTAATAATTCCAAAGTAAGCAGGAGACCATCTTTACTCACTGTAGAGAAGCTTTAAAAGGCAGAAGTATAATTCTGAATACTTAACAGTTAATGTACTTACAGACTTGTTAGTTGCTGTGTCCTGATGCTTAAGTGAGACTTTATTTTTTTTCTCTTCGGTATTGTTTTCAAAAGTGTTTTGCATATCTTAGCCCTGTGAGGGGAGAATGTGCACTGACTTGAACAATCTCTGCTCGGCTAATCAGAGGTGCCCAAAAATCAAGAACCAGATCCTGAAATCCTGAGTTTGACTTAAAAAAAAATAATTTAAATGCATAGTAAAATTAGGCTCTATTTATTTGCCTGCTGGTTTTTAACCTTACAGGTCACATTCCGGTTATATTTTCAGGCTTCCCCTCATAACTGTAGAGGCTGAACACTTTCCTTTATAAAATTGTAATTGAGATATCTATGTAGTCATTGCCTCCAGGTACCAGAGTGCTGTGCGTAACAAGTTCTGAGATAAAAATCATGCAGGTTGACACCAGAGGGAATGATCTGATCCCTCACTTCTGTTCTTTATTATTTCTAATGTGAAGTCATGTTTGATAGGAAAGAAACTACCAGCTGCTGTTACAGAAATTTTGCTCAGATAGAGGCCATAGTATTAATAATTTTAAAAACAGGCTTTATAAATGGATTCTGTCATATCCCAGTATCAAGACCTTACACCAGGTGACTCTCAAAATTATTCCCTCCCTTACTTAAAACTTGATGCTGGGAGCTGTAACATTTTTATTTGTGTGTAAAATAGGGACATACTTCTGTGATTTGGCTTGTCTCCCTTATAGCATAAAAATTGGTGTATGGGAGGAGAATAATTCTTCTTATTAAAATATTATAAATTATATACTGTATGTTAGTATTCTTTAAGAAAATTCTGTATCTTCAGTTCCAGCCCATTCTCATTCCTGACTTCCTGGCTTTAACAGAGACAGGAGGAAAACAGATTTTGTGGCCCTGGATGGGGCTGCATGGCCCCATGGGTGGAGGATGGTCAGGAACCATCCATCTTAGACCAAGGATCACAGTGACCATCCTAGGGTAAGCAAAGGATCAACGCAGATATTTGACAGATCTTTTCCAAATCTTAATAACCCTGTAAGGCAAGTGGAATGCCGTCAGACTTCTGTGAAACTGTTGTGGACAGAACATCACAGTCAGACATCTCCAAAAGTTGCTCTACACAAGTTGTATTTTTGAGGTACAAACCATATTGTTTTGATCCTTATCCCTGTGTCTTCTGTGCACATACAAGATCTCAGTTCAGCTTCCTCATTTGCAAGCAAGCTAATGGAGATATCAGATTTCATTTTAAATTCTTTCTGTATCTTATTTATGTGTCTTCCGTTGTCATTCTGCTTTCCTCCAACTATGAACAGATGGGGAACTTTCCATACCAAATGAAGAAGGAGCTTTGGAGAATGGGCAGCCTCTGGGCTCCGGGCAAGTGCTGAGCTCCAGCCAGGTATCCCTGCCAGCCCTAGCAGAACTGGAGTCAGGTCCAGCATCTGGGGAACCCTGCTCATACGAGGTGCTCCCAACCACAGAGATCATGGACGGGACAGGTAACATCTTGTTTACATTACGATGTAGATACTCAAAGCTGTTTGAAACAAGTTTTTGACTTCTAACATTTGGTACCTATCCCTGAGAAATCCTTGTCGAAGACAAAGGTCTTCTGGTGGAGGTGGCAGCATACAGATAGTCACTGGATGCTCATGAGAAATTTTGACTGACTTGGCGTAGAAGTAACCTCTACTTCTACACAAGTAACCTCTTTGTGAGTAAGGCAAAGTCCTTGAACTTTGTGAACATTTAAGAGTAGTTTTCTGACTCTCTGGCTACATCTTAGCTGTGCCAATGAGCTCTAGAGCAGAGAGCTGACCACATTTTTAAACCCTAGGGTACAACGTCATGCCCTTTAGCTGCCGCGTGGTGTTGGGTGACATTCACACCACGTAGCTCTCGGTAGCTGACACGGCCAGCTGCCCTACCGCAGGTGAGGCTCTCTGCACTTCTTCCCCAGCCCACGCAGGGAGACGGCAACGCTGTATGTCTGGGTTAGCTCCTCTTACTGCTTCACTTAATGCTGCGGGTTGTGGACAAAGGTCGAGTGAGGAAAAGTGACTGGTAGAAGTGTTCATCCGTGATCCTGCACAGCCTCTTTGAAATGGAGTAGGCCCCGTGAAGTGCTTTTACATTCATCGGACAAGTTTAGAGACCACCTGCTAACATTTCTGGTCCTGAGCAAGCTGTGGTGACAGACCGTCTGAGATGTGACATTTTAAGGCACTTGATTTGTGTTCAAGATGTGGGAATACGTCCCAGCCTGGCATAAGGGAGCTGGCTTCTGTCAGAGGTAATGGGAAATTCGGCTGTTGTGTAGATGTGTGTTACTCCTTCTCTTTCTCTTTTTCTCTCCTTTCTCTCCTCCTTTCTATGTTATATGATGTTTGAGTGAAATCTATTAGTCGTTCTTAATCTGCATTGCTGTGCTGCTTTTCTTGTCTTACTGCGGCTGTATCCGCTGCTGCTTTGCTCGTAACATTGTTGCGTCTATGATGTGGTTGTGTCCTCCAGTGTCTGAAGAGAGCCCCACATCCAATGAATCCGGCGTCCTCCTGTCCCAAGATCCTACAGCTAAGCCAGTCCTGCTACTTCCCCCCAAAAAATCTGCTGCTTTCCCTGGAGACCATGAGGACACCCCAGTGAAACAGTTGTCCCTCCTCAAACAGCCCCCTGCCCTGCCTCCTAAACCTATTGCCAGGATTGCCAGCCACTTAACTGGTAAGTAGGTGTTCCTGGACCCTCTCCACCACCGTTTCCCTTATAGGAAAAGCTTGCCCTGACAGCAGAGTTCTCAGTGTCCTTCCTCCTTGTGTAACGCTGTTTGCACGTGTTGTTGTGTGTACTGGTAATGTATCTGTGTTTTACCCAGGGCAGGGATCACGAATCATTTTCAGGCTGTAACTTCATCAAGGTTGCTTCAGGGCACTTCCCCTCTCAGCTGTAATTACCTAAGACCGCCGCTGCGTTTCCTAACCCTCCTCACTCTTACTCATCAAGACTTACCATCACCACAAAAATTGCAGGATGTGCTTTGATGGGAAAGGAAGTATTAGGAAAATACTAGGATATCTTTGAATGCCTTTAATGAGAAAAGGAGTGAGGTTTGAGGGGAGAGTTTTGCTTTCTCCTTTTGCTCTTTGTTGCTTTTCCCCTCAGCTGCCATCTGGGAAGGTCCCCCTACACACACCCTCTATCTTTCAATGTGTTTGTCTTGTCCCCACGATCCTTATACAGGCTGTTCTGTCCCATGGCTTCTTGCCATTTTGCTTCCCTGCTCACACTGCCTGCCTCACCACTCCCCCTTTCCACCCCTGCTCTGACGACTCCCCTCCCACTGGTGAGTCCTGCTCATGATGGGCAGCTCCCAGGATTTTGATGTCCTGCAGCTTATGCTGCTGTTTATCTCTCACTGCATGGCAGCTAGCAACAGTAGACAATGCAGGCTCCTTTTTTGTGTTCCAGATGTTTTCCAAGTGTCCAGGCTCTTTGGGATTCAAAACTCTAGGTACATGTGGAAGGAGGATTGGTGGGTCTCCCCGCCCCAGCCTCGCAAAGCAAAGGATGGCTTCATTTACACAGACGAAAAAAGGCTCCCTAAATCCTTGCCTGCACCTGTTGAACAGGCTGCTCATAATTGCAGCTGCTGCCCAGGAGGCAGCACCTCAAAATCCTGAGGTTAAGATGAGGTGTGGTGCATCTCTGTGCTGGGGCAGCTACCGGTCTTCTCACTGGGTCGATCTTCTTGTGTTAATGCTGCCCTGATCTTTTCAGGGCTGATGTGAGAAATGCTCGGCCCACGTTAATAGATTCTAGATGGGGTTTTTTTCCTGATAGTTAATACCTGGTTTATTCAGGTTAAGATATATATCAGGGAAGAGCTCATTAGGAAAGAGCACGTTCTGGTTTTCTCTCATCTCTCTACGTAGTCTCTTCATGTTTCTGTTTGGATGGCCACACATTTTTGTTCTGTATAGTTTTGTTCATTTTATGTGAAATCTCTTTACTTTCTTGCCTGCCAAAATCTAGACATAATGGTTAATATTTTACCTTATGCTACAAACTGAATGGGCAGTTCTGCAGCCTGCAAAGCCAGGCTGCAGTGTTAATGGCTTCAGGTGAGGACAAAACCAGCTTCCTATGATCTCCCATAATACTCTGTCCCAATTACAAGAAGCTGCTCAGAAAAGAGGCCAACATGGAAGAAATAAAAAGAAATAGGAATAGCATAGGAAAATACTCAGGTACTAAATGTCCTTCATTCATAAGCCTTTCTTTGTAAGAGATAGCAGAAGAATTAAAGGATGAGGGCTTCTGGTGTCATTTTTTTGCAGCTGGAAATTTTGTGTGAAGTAGAAGCAGACTCAAGCTGTCAGCATAAGACAATTGCTTGATGGTGATGACTTTCCAATGAAAGTGAAACAGAACTGTGATTTCTCTTACTTTGTGGTGGCCTTTAGTGGTCTCTCATCCAGTGCTAAATAAACTCTTGTATGTGCATATAGAAAGCCTCTTGTACATGCATATACAGAACCCTCAAGGAAAAGGAACAGGGATTCAGATCCCTCATGGGGCCCTAATTTAACTGACAGTTATTCCTAGTGGAACTGAAAGCCTCATTTATACATACCTTATAAATAAAAGTATTAAACTTATTCTTAAGGGTCTGTTTACTTTGGTGGTCTAAAAGATATACATGTTGTTGAGTGCCTTGTGTTCTCCACTGGTAATTATTTTAGCTGTGTATAATCTTTGGAAATGAGCAATCAATCCTAATGAAGCACCCTCATCAGTGAGAAGCAGAATTAATGCTATTCTTTTACTAATTACTCCAGAGACATCCTCAGCTTGTGTGTGAGAAAACAAGAAAAATCTGAATTCTGGTCTTTGAGGTGAAGACTTTTCTGCTCTTGTTGCATATCTATTTTTCTACTAAAGATTTTGTTAGAAGGTTGAAGGACAAATTAAAACACTGGGCTTGGCTAATGGAGAGTGACAGTGGGTTAATGGTCTGGTAGCTCTGTTCGAGAAGACTGTGAGGGAAGAAGTGATCTTGTGAAGGGTTCAGGTACACATCTGAAAATGCAGAAGTGCCTCAACTTCTGTCTTAAAATATATCTATATGTGTACGTGTACCTATGTATATGTATTTAATAGAAACATGTTTTATACAAACATATATTATAAAATCTCTACAGGCATGGTCAACAGCAAAAAAAAAAAAAAAAAAAGAGAAATATTTAAATACAAAACTTGAGGAAAGAAGAGCTTCCTTTGAGTCCGACCACCTTCTTGCTGTGAACTTATCCCAAAGTTCTTCAATAAAAGCATGAAGACTGACTTGCAGGTTTGGCAAAGGACTTAATACAGGTTTTAGAAATGGAAAAGAAACATTCCTCACCTCTGAAAGCATTTGTGAACCAGCTCAAACATCTATCTGCCTGTGCCAAGACAAAGATTGGCCTTCCCCTCGATAAGAAATGCACATGAAAGAGCAGGCCTAAAATAAACATGTAAGAGCACATTAAATTTGGGGGAGAATGAAAAGAAAAAATCCTTTTTAAAGGTGACAGGAAGAGAGAATTGCCTCTAGCAAATACAAATCACACAACCTTGGCATGCTTCTTCTCAAGGCTGAGGTACTGTGCGGCCGGGACAGAGCCAAGAGCAGACTGCAGAGCAGACACTGGGAGTGGTGCCACCGCCGCTGCAGAAGATGCTCCGTGCTTTGCCTCACGCCATCGCCCATGCTCTTGATGATGCTGCCTCCACAGGGAGCGTCCCTATCACAGCACTGGGTGTGGAAATGCCCGCACAGCCCTAGAAGATAGGCAACCCTAGGAGAAGAACATGATCCTTAACTCTTTTGATACCATTGTTTCACTGCTCTGCATTTGCTGTTGGCCTGTCACCTCCTGTTGAATCTCCTACTGGTTTTCAGATATGATTATTATTAGGCAACGTTTATGGACAGAATTTCTTTCATCATTTTAATTCTCCATTATCCGCATGCAGAACCCAGGCGTTTACGGACAACACTTGCAGCCCCCTTTGTTGAAAATGTAGGAGGAGCTGAAATAATCACCTGGGACCAAATTTAATTGGACTGCTGGGGTAAAGTCCCTGGATTATCATAAAATCTTTAATGGCCAAAAGTGACAAGAAGACTGGTCATAGCTAATTTGATAGACAACATACCCCAGTGGTGTAAAGCTCCTTTTGATCTTGATTCATTAAGCTGTTACTTCTCACCAGCATGGATAATGTTTTCTGAAATTAATTAGATATTTTCCATTCAAACAACTGAATCACCAGTAACAAATAAAGTCCCTTAAAACATCAGAGAACAAAATATATGCCACTAAGCTGGTATCTCAGCAACACCTGCGTGTATTTGAGCCCAAAGTTAGCCTAGTATTACAGTAGGGTGTAACCTTGGTTGTATCTGGCTGCTCAGCTATTGTATTTAAGCTTTGAAAAACCTTTTGCATTCTCTTGCTTTCTTCATTGAAGATTTGAGGAGAGGCATAGCATATTTTTAGTTCTGAGATTGTGCTTTCTAGTTATGTCTCAGTACAGTAAGAACTAATTCATAGTTAGAAGGAAACATGTAACAGGGTAGGAAATGTTACAAGTCCCCAAAAGTTACTTCGCATAATGCAGACAAGCCAAGGATGAGGTTTGAGAACACGGATGCCTGGTGTCCTGCTGCATGGCCACAACACAGCTGGTTGCTAGTTACGGCATTGTAAAAGTATTTACAACTACAATTTATCCAATAAATATTCTCTGCAGTATTTTGTAACACAACAGTCACATGTGTCTCAGAAGGCTCCTCTGTAGATGAGCCCAAGACGTTATCCATAAGCTTCCTTCTCTGTGACATTACCTCCTGCTGCCTGCTCTGGCAGGCTACATTCATGAAGACAGGCTACCTTCTCGTGGGGGCTATGGACAATTCTCTTTTCACTATGCGCTTGAGGGAGAAGCAGCAGAGCAAAAGCAGCTCTCCTTCACCAGCACTCCCAGGCTCTCCTGAGAAAGTGGACCTTGATGCAGTTGCTCTGTCCACACTTCCTCTGCCTGCCGCTACCTGGAGGGGAGTACCTAGCACGTATGGGCAGCAGGAAATCTTCTGGTCTTTTAAACCTTCTTCAGGGTGCTGCACGGGATTTCATGCAGAGCTGTACTTTTCAAACTTTAGACTAAGCATGCTTTGCTTGTGTTCTCCAAATTCAACTTGAACCTTGGATGCATACATAGCGCAGAAGAACAAAGCAAAGAATTTCAGTCTCAAATTTTCCCTGAAGACATGGCTGCAGATCTTGCTGTAGTCAGCAGGAGATGCATGGCAGATCTTTCAGAATAGTTTTTAACTTTTCTTTATGAATCTGCTCAAAAAACTCACTGAAAGAAGAAAAGAGACTCCCATGGTTCAGACTCAAGTGATTCCCAGAACGAAGACCTGAAAAAGTGAAAGCTCCTTGTCCAGATGCTACCAGCAAATATCAAGCACATCACCTCATTTCCACTATGGAGTTCCCTCAACAGGCCATGCTGGTTTTTTCACCTTTTTTTTTTGTACATTACTTTAAAGAATTAATTACTTGGATGGAATTTAAAGAGTAACTTGTTTACTTTATGACGAGTTGTATTACTTCTAGTTGTATATAGTACAACAAAGGTCATGGTATAAGGTCATTCAGGTGGGAAGGAACCTCAGGAAGTCTCTAGTCCAACCTCCTGTTCAAAGCAGGGCCGGCTACGGGATCAGACCTCGTTGCTCAGGGCTTTGTCCAGCCAGGTCTTGAAAACCTCAAAGGATGCTAACTGCACAACCTGTCGGGGCAAACCTGTTCCACTGTTGGGCTCTTCTCATGGGGGAAAATGTTTTCCATATAGTCCAGTCCAGAACCTCTTTTGTCTCCTCCTCCCACCATGGAACAGCTATGAGGTGTGACTGCACCTTGTTAATAACCTCCTCACAGGTACTGGAGCGCTGCTGTTAGGTTCCCCCCTGCCCTGCAACCTATTTTTTCTCCAGGCTGAACAAGCCCCTGGTCCCTCAGATTCTCCTCACAGGTCAGGTGCTCCAGCCCTAAACCATCACAGTGGCCCTCTGCTCAACTCATTATAGGTTTTTGATGTCTTTTCCTGTCTTTGACACAGTAATGTAGATACAGTCCAAGAAGTGCTGAGTAGAAGCTGAATAATCCCTTGATCTCCTGGCTGTGCTTCTACTCATACAACCCAGGTGGCTGTTGGCCTTCCTTGCTGTCAGGGTACATTGCTGGCTCCTGTTTGGCATCACAAGGAGTCAAGAAAGAGCTTTTCCCCCACTGGCAGGATAGCAAACACAGCCAGCTCTGCCACAAGCCCAGGATTCCCAGGCATGCCCTCTTACTCTATGCAGTAGTTGTGCTGGGGGAGGATTTTAGTGAGCTTTTCTAGCAGCCATGCTGGAGCACTATTTGCTGCCATACATCCAGAACTTCCTAGCACTCCATGTGCAACAGGTGTATCTGCAACATGTGCTGACCAACACCAACTCTCCAGCCTTGTTCAGTAGCTGGGAAGCATCAGACTTGGTGTAGTTAGTGCACAGCTTCAGTGTACCACAAACACATCAGAAGAACCATACATGGACAGACCTTTTGGGCAGTGAATAAAAGTATATTCATCTCCTGAAAACCCCAAGAGGAAATGCAGCAACTACAGGTATTAGCAAAGTGATCTATATGGAAGGGGTAAGGGCCGACCTGTTTGTCATAGCTCTGATGTGCAACGAATATTGTGGCATTGACAACTGTCTTTTTGAAGTAATTTATTGTCATCAGCAGTGGGAAAGTTTCTATGTCTAACATCTCTTTCATTAATTCTGGCACAGTTATTACTTAACAATGCACAGTGCTGAGTGGTCACAACCCCGTTGGGAACCAACATCTTGCAAAATTGCTCATTATTCTCTTGAGCATGAAGAACCTGAGCCAAAAGAGATTAATCAGACTTGCACACCTGGCTTCACGCAGTTTGCTTCTCTTCTGTCACGTGAGTGCTTTGCGCAATGATTTAAGGCATTGGTAATGTTCCACTGAGAAGACACTTCTCACAGACTCCTTGTTCATATTATTTCCACTGTCAAGTTCCTTGTTCATCTACAGATGTCCACGTCTGATGGATATTCCATGCTGGAGACAATAACTGTTTCCACCCCTGGTTCATACATCACCTGCCTTGTGAAATTAAAACAAACAGAGGAATGAACTGTAAAATGCAGTCATCTCACTCTTATACGCAGGGACTCCAGTTCTCTCGTTTACTCCAGATGATGGTAGCGCAGCTTCCAACAGTGTGCCTGGAGCCCATGGATTTGAGCAAGGCCTCATTTGTTCAGCACACTCACTGATCTGACCACACAGTAAAACTTGCAGTACAAGGTCTCCGTTACTGATGTCGGTGAAGATATACTGCTAGGTTTCTGAGCAAATGGATTGAACTCTCCTCCCATTGCAGTCATTCTCCTTTTAGCCATTTTTTTTTTTTAACAGACAAGTAGAAGTCTCACAAAGGTGAAGGCCAGACAGGTAGATTTAATGCCTCTGGTTCATTTTCAAGGTTCTATTTAGGTATTATGGTCATATTGAGACAGGCTCAAGAACTTGGGTGAAACACAGGCAGTCTGAATAAAGCCTTATGTTAAAAATGATGGACAAGATTTTTGATATGTGTCCAGATACCACTGAAAACATGTTGATGTGAAGGATTTATTTAAATTTAAGTGGAAACTAAAGGTCCATACCTTTGTTGTGAAGAGTGGAAACCAGAGTATGCAGATCTGATTCATGATGGAGTATGTGGTTACTTGGGATAATGAAACTAGGCTTGTTCTTTCATGCAACTCCAAAGTTGCAGTGCCTCTGTACAACTCTACAAGATGAATGCCTGCATGAGAAAGGAAAATAAATTTTCACTATATTTTAGAACAAAGATGGAAGGATTCCAGTTTGCTGTATACCTGAACCATTTGGCACTCACTCCCAACATACAATATTGCTCTAATCTTCAGGATCACAGAAGGCAGCAAATCCAATTGATACTTCCAGTTGTTCTTTTGTCGGAAGCAAGAGATGCCTGCATTTGGGATGTCTCTGAATTCACCATTAAGGATCATCGCATCATACACAGAGTGGTGGGGCACAGGCACTGTGAGATGAAGACATTAATTGAGATACAGCAGAAAAGGATCTAAAATCAATAATCAAGCCTGCACTTTTCAAAATGGAAGGCAGATCTCAGTGTAGTCTTTGTAATTCAGGACCAGGTCCAGAAGTGAAATTGCGTGGAGCCCAAATGTATGAAAACACTTTGTTACTACAAATCCCATAGGAACCTTATTGTCAGGGCTCTATATAATTTAGTCTTTACTCTTTATTATTTACCTTTTATTGAAGATGGTGTGTTCTTTTATGCAGGATACAAAGAAGAAATATATACAAATAACATGTATGTAAGAAAAACACAGTAACTTGGAGACCTTTGTGTGCTTGAATAGAAAATCCTAAAAGTATTTTTTTTTCTACTGTACAGAAGCCAGTCTACTTTAGAGGAGAGGACAGTGCCCTGTAGTTTGGCAATCCCATGAGTTAGATTTCAGCTTTGGTGGAGCCCTCAGAAAAATTTTTGCTTTCCAGAGACATGTCAAGTGGATATGATATTGCATTAAAAGCCAAAAGACTTGAGTTCTTCTCTCTCCATGCCTCTATTTCATCTTTGCGCACTCTTTGCCTCTCCTATGTCTTTAACCTATAAGCTCTTTGAAGAACGGGAAGACTTGCTGTCAGTGTGTTGTTCCTAGCATAGTAAAAAACACTAGTATCAAGTGGATACTGTGGATGCAATGAAGCTACGACTAGCACTAAAAAAAGCCTAATGTTATATCTGAGCTTGACCCAATGCATACTCTTTTTCCACATTACTGTCCTTAATCATTTTCAAGAAGTTTTAGTGCTTGGAAGTCCTAGTATCGACCTCGTGCACCCTGGCTAGTAGATATGGATACTAATACAGGCAATACCCAGAATAGGCCAGGAGGGAGGAGGGAATAAAGGGGGGCAAGGAGAAGGATAGTTAATGCTAAAAAGAACCATCTGGAAAAGGACTTCAGAAATCTGATATCGCTGAGGAGGGTGATGACCTTTGAAACCTGGAGGGCAACATCTCACTCCCAAGCTTTCTCAGGTCAAAAGAAGATTCTAAACCTTCAGTTCCTTTACCATGTTACAGCAAGAAGAGTGAGCTGAAGCAACAGAAGGTCAAAGAGCATGCAAGCCTTACCCACAGAGCTGCATTGCAGAGCCAAATGTCTGTTTTATTCCAGGCTGGAAAGGGCATGGCCTTCCTTCTGAACACAAACTCACAGTTGCAGCTCACAGCATATATATTTGCTTTCGTTTTTGCTCTTAGCATATGTGGTGGCCATTTCCTACACCCATCTTGGGAACTACAAGCCTTCCCATTAACTTCTTCTCCCTTCTGAAAACATTTCATGGTGCAACTCCAAAAATCTGCATCGTGCAGTTGAGTCCGGGCAGAGATTTGCTTGTGGACCTTTCATTGATTTCCCAGTCTTTGCCTGGCAGGTCAACTGTGTGATTCAAGGAACATGCCTAGAGTTAAAAAGGTTAAAATTCAGTGCATAAGCCCAGAGACAAGTGCCTGCCTAGTCTTCTGTAAAAGAATACATTAATCCTAACAATCTTCTGCCCTTTATCATTTTCTCCTCCCATACCCTTCGTTTTTCCAGACCACTCCTGTTTAGTATTCAAGCCCTATTTCTTTTCTCTCTTGCCCTGTAATGTAATTTTTAACACCAGATGTTTTGCACATTACAAAGCTGTAAGAAATGTGACTTGTAGTAATTGCACTGCAGTGGCTGAGAAGGATCAGGAGTCCCTGAGCTTTTGCTCCAGCAGTGATGGTGGTGAGTCATCTTGTAACTTCAGACACCGAATCGCTCTCCCCCTCTTTGCGTGCCTGTTGAGCGGGAGACATCGTGCTTACCTCACAGGGCTGTGTTGGAGGATTAAGGCTATTTAAAGCATCAAAATGCACCACAAGCCTTGTTAAGCGTTGCTTAACATGTTTATTAAGGGGCATGCACAGCCCTGGGATGTTTTTTTGTGACACTCGGAAATGCTGCAAAACAACAGTATTTTTTCTGAAGACAGTGCTGAGCGCACGCTATGCAGGATTGGCTGTCGCAGCAGGGAAGGGGTGCACACTCCCATGTTGACTAGCAACCTCAGTACCTGCTCGCTGCATGCAGATACTCTGAGCTCCATCTTACTGACATGAGAATTAACACTAGGGCCTCTCTTTCTTCTGTTTTAGATCCTGGCGCTCCTGTGAAACTGCCTTGTATGCCAGTTAAACTGTCACCTCCACTACCTCCAAAGAAAGTCATGATTTGCATGCCTTTAGGGGGGCCAGACCTCTCTCTCTCATCCTATTCCACGCAGAAGAGCTCCCAGCAGCCTTTGACCCAGCACCATCACACTGTCCTGCCATCCCAGTTAGCAGCTCACCAGCACCAGCTCCAGTACGGCAGTGCCTTCTGGGTCCAGCACGTTGCCCATTCACCCTTCAGGGTGCCGGATGATAGAGGAACTGAACAAAACGCTAGCCATGACCATGCAAAGGCTAGAAAGGTAATTAAAATTACATGTTGATGTGGATTGTTTCCTGCTAACCTCAGTATCCATATCACCACTTGAGTTATGTTGCTAGTACTTGAATGAGGTCTCCCCTCTGGGGGTTTGACAACTTCAGGGCAGTCACTGCTGGAGAAAGAGAGATGGGGAAAGAGCCTTTCCAGGCTTGTTTGACAAGTTTGTGGCAAAAAGGAGAAAAAGACCAAATTTCCTGAACCCTGTTGTCCTGTGCAAGGAGCTAAATAATACAGCCAGTGGAGAAGATGTTAATAGGACATGTCTGGATTGCAGTATATACTGCAGAGTGCATAACTCTAAAGCTCTGGTTATATGGAGGATTAAAAAAAAAAAAGAGAGGAAGTGGAAGATTAAAAAACGACCAATAAAAGCCAAATGTGCCACTCAGCCAGGACATCTGATTAGTATTACCAGTTAGCTCAAAATAACCAGAGGACATCCTAGAAGTCACTCAAAGGCATTTTAATAGAATATTTCAAATAATTTAAATTAAATTATACATTTGATCTTAAAATAAGTATTTAACCCATTCCACAGCAGCTACCTTAGCCATTTGCATCTAGAGGAAGGTGGTACCATTGATCAGAAGAGTCTTACCAACCTTGGGGCTGTTTTTTATTACTGTCACTTGTGGCTATCTCTGAACGCTGCTTCAAATAGTCCAAGTGAAGCATGTTGTATAAATGCAAGCTGTCCTCATAGACTGCAAGATCAGCAAGCTTTGGAAAATTTATTTCGTCTTGTAGAGGAAAATTGAGCAAGTCCCAGAATAGGGAAGGTAGTCCAAAAAATGACATGTTCTATTTAGTACCAAGGGCAGCTTTGCAGCCAGCTTGTTCTAGGAGCATCAGATCATCCTTCTCTTAGACAGGAAGTCAAAATATTTGGTCTAATAGACAAAATGCCTAATGATTTGCCCCAACACCTCTTTGTGATAATGTTACCTTCATTATAGTGCATAGTTAAAAATAATTTGATTAGGGATGGCAGATTCTCCTTACTGCATGGAAAACAGTCAGGCGACCAGAGGCTGTCCCACACTGCCTGCTTATTTTAGCACCAGGATAGCAAGACCTCTGTGATTATATCAGATGTTTCTGCAGCATAGGATAAATCTCTGCTGGGGGAAAACTGTTAGGGCTATGAGGGAGGTTCCTCTTCCCATCAGTAAAAGGGCTGTAGCAATAGCATTGGAAAAAACATCCACATTCTCCTTTGTGCCCAGTGACTACCCAGTTACCTCTCACACTGCCAGCAGAGCTGGTCAAATGCATCTGCACCACTCCAAAGGTTGGTGCACTGAGCGCGGAGGGCAGCTGGTGTCTCCCAAAGGCTCCTTTGGGGCTGCACTGCCCATGCTGTCCCCAGCAAAGGTCGGATGTCTTACTGTCTGGCTCACACTGCGTGCAGAAGGCGCTTTGTTATCCTGAGCCCGGTGACATCTCTCAGAGTGTGACCATTGTAGCATTTGTTGCCCCACAGCAACGAATGCTCCAATTTCTAGGCATCCATCGTGTTTATGTCTACAAATACGTTTAACTGATTTAAAGAAGGTGATGCTCTTTGGTTTTAACTATTAGTTTGAAGCTGAAGCTCTGCTGCTTGTTAAAAACTGAGTAAGCAAGGATTCCTTTCCCGATATGAAGCAAATGCTTTGTAGAAGAAAATAAGAAAAGGTCGTGGCCCTGATATTTCCTATTTTAAATTAAAATGAATCCTAGTTCATGATATTGCAGCCGGTTGATTTTTCATCACCTTTTTGTGTTGATTAACTATTATTTCAATGGTGACATAAAGTATTGAGTACTTCAGTTATTCTCCTCAACAAAACAAATCAATAACGGTTGTAATCACAAGAGAGAAAATAGGTGATGACTGGTTCCTCTGCAACAGCAATTATTATTTTCATTGTATTTATGGGTAAAAGGGTCTGTGGAGCTGACACTTGCTGTTAAGTTCTTAAAGTGCTTTTTCATGCCACATTGGGATCTTAGTAAATTTGCTAACTTTTCTTGAAAATTTGTGCAGATTTTTAAAGTATATGTTTTTAACTGAGGAGAGGATTATTTGCACCAAATATTGCTATTTTCTAGTATTTTCTGCAGTAATTCTTTTCCCATAATTGTATAAAACCTGGATTAAACCCAGCGGAAATCATACCGCAGCATTTGTCAGTGGACACTTCAGCCCAGAAGTCTTGAAGGCTTTTTCAGGCTGCACAGATCCTAGATCTGCTTTCCTCTATTTAAAATTTGGTAGTGTGCTCACATCTGTTGCACGCATAGGATATGCAGTGAGATCCTGAGCTTTACTGTCCCTTCCAGGATAACATGCTACTGCGTCACTGTTGTTGGGTCAATAATCTTGCAGAGATGAGAGAGCCTGACAAGTCTCTGAGGCACCTTCAGGGGAAGTTAATTGGCAGCATTTATTTTTGCTGATCTCAGTCTTTAGCTTGAAAGAATCCTACAACATTATAGAATAATTCCCAGGATGTTGCAGTAATGATGCTGCCAAGTCTGGTAATTTGGGGGATTAGTTAGAGTAGTATTTTGTTGTTAATAGGGGAGGATCACGTACACAAGTGCAGATCAGTATTCTGCTCTAAATTTTGTCGTCTTTTTCCTTTAGGAGATTTTTTTTTCTTCCCTGTGTCTAGTTTCTTTGCCTCTAGTGCAGTGGAAGCTCCTCAGGTCTGTTAAACTCCATTGATACTCACTGAATCTGTAACCAGTTGGTATCAATTCCACATTTTGCCCAGTAAACTTTTCTTAGACCTCACAACTCTTCTCTCCACCAGGACTGTGAGTGTGGACAGGAACAAAGAATGAAAGACTAAAACATCCCCTTCCTCTAGCAATCTGGATTTTTTGCTTTCAGAGATGAGGTCTCTAGAGCGCAGATAGTCTAACAGTATCTGAAGACTGATACTCAAAATCAGTGCTTTGCCAGTGAGCCAGAAGCTTGCCAGAGAAAAATGAGCAGTCCCTCTGTACCAGCCTGAAAGCCAGAAGTTATTTTGCTGTCATTGACCTTGAGAAAGCTACAAAGCTGCTCCACCTCTATTTTCCCCTCTGCAGGAGTGGTTGCGAGTTACTGCCTCACCTAGACCTAGTGCATATTAATAAGTCGATGTCTTAAGGTACATTAAAAGCGTGTAATAGCTATTCAAGTCCCAGTTGTTCCTATGACTTAAAATGGCAGTTAATTCCTGGATTTTTTTTATTCAGTTTTATTACAGACATCATAGAACATTAAGTTCATTTGCACACTTAACGCTTTTGATTGCAAACATTTTCTGGTACTCGTAACATCTATTCATAACCTATTCTCAGAAGGGCAATCTGTCCCATGTCATAGTATGACTATTATGACATGTCATTTGTGCTGCCAGTTTGCCTCTATTTTCCCTGATAAATTACCAGCTTTATGATAGATTAAGTTGAAACAGAGAAGAGTGTAATTTCCATGTAACCTTTTTTCTGCAACCTCTGTTGCCATTTTGTGCCCTACTGCAAACAACTTTCCCCTTCAGCCCAAAGGGTATGTGTCAAGCATAAGTAAAACTCTAGATTCGGGCATCATTTGTTACCGTTTCAGAATGCATTTTAGGAGTTGGTGAAAATCTGATAACCCCTGCCACCAAAATCCACAGAAGGTTTCATCCTCCTGACTGAATTGAATTCAAAAGACCTTGCACAAAAAGCAGCGTGTCACGAACAGCAGCAAAGAAAGCTTTAGAAACCCGTTTGTGCCACTGGAGTGTATCTTTAATTTTGACTTAGAGAGGCAGCTTCTTGATCTGAAATGGCCTTATTTTCTGCCTTGCCCATATAGTTCTCGGTCTGTCTGGAAAGACGACAATTAATTTCAATTACTCTGTGGGCTCCTGTACACTTGCAACTGAATCAAGGCCTCAGTTTGTTCAACCTATGTACTAAAGAGCTGTTAAGTGGCAATATCTCACCCTGAGCTAGAATTGCATCTGTGGCAGAGCAGTGACAAATTGCTGTGTCCAAAAAGACAGTATGTGAGACCAGTTCCTCGGGGACACCCAGTTCAGCTTCAGACTGTAGATTTATGAAATGAAATGCATTCGGCATTCTTGCCAGTGTCTTGTAAATCTTAAAAAACATATTTGAGTCAGAAAACATTTATCTTCCATAAAACTTGTCAAGAGAATTGCTTTTTGTCTAAACTCTAGCATTGCCTAAGGATAGAACACTTAATATTTATAGCTCTGCCTTCTCTCTCTGTCTCTCACACATATGCCTGTATTGTAGAAATGTATATACAATGGTTTGAAGTTTTGGCAGGTTTTTGTTTTAACTGATAAGTACAGAAGAGTGTACTGTGGATCTGAAAACATGCTGATGAAAAAGTAACTCTTTATTCCAAAATCAAAGAGCCTGGGATGACAGATGAGAAGTGTGTGGTTTTTTTCCCCACCAGATTTTACAGGAGGGATTTCACTTTTTTTTTTTTTTTTTTATTTTGTCTGTACCATGAGTCACTCATATGCTTATATTCTAATTTTTCATTAAAATATTTTATCACTAGAAACATGGTAGGCTATAATGGTGTAACTGTTTTGCTGTTTTGATTACGTAAAGATAATGCAACAGCAATTGCAAGTGCTTGTACTAGTCGGCTATGAATTATTCAAATCTATGTGTTAAGATACATTTATCTTCTTAAAACAAGTACTTGCTTAGCTGTAGCTTTGTTCTCTAATTTTGTTGCAAAACACGAAGCTGATTTAAAATGGACTGTTTGAAACAATAGTGTGCTTTTTGGTAAATAATGCTAAAAAATTTTGTGGTGTAGACCACCTGACCATTTGGGGGTTTTGCTAATGACCCAGAGGAATTTATACACAATGGAAATATCCAGTGACCTTGACTTGTCTTTCTTAAGTATACTGCAATACTGCATGTATTTCACAAGTGCTTTGCTGAGACAGCTGACTTAGTCAACACGCCGTGGAAAAGGCTGATTTTAATCAAGAAGAACACAAAACACCAAGATAAATGAGGGGCTTAAAATAGGAAGTAGTATTATCAAGAAAGTGGATGATTCAGAAAAACTACAATGAGATGAGAAGCCGCCTATTTCTAGATCAGTAGTTCAAGTAAAGGTCTGGCATGGTAATTTGTAAATCTTGTTGCCATCCGATACCTGCTTGGTAACCTAAACTGGTGAACCACTTCTTTGATATCTGCTACCCTATGGGCACGCCTGTGAGGATGCGTCTGTAACCTACATACATCCTTCACAGAGCAGGGAAGCATCAAATGGTCCTCGATGCTGAACTACTTTGTGCTCCTTTCATTTGTACTTCCAGAAGGGACTTAGTGAACTTGTACTTACTCTCGGAGTATGTATTGTTTTAAAATTAAATAATGGTCCAGTGACTGTGTTCACCATTGGAGGTTTTTTTTTTTTTTTTTTTTAAGCAATGTTAACAGAATTTCACAGCATTTTAGTTTCTCTTGGAAATTTAATTCCAGGTTTTTTAATTTCCTAGCTTTCCTCTTAAAAAGAGTTACACAAAAAACAGGTTACAGAGAAAACAGATTTTAAAAATGAACTTAATATAATTAAGATTATTAAAGCTTATCAAGAAATTAAAAGTTAGTTGAAAGTTTTTAAATACTGCAGTGCATTTATGTGTTATTAGGAGAATTCAGCTGGTGAATTCTAAAACTACTTCCAGGATAAAAAAAAATTTGCGTCAAACTCATTGAAGTCTAATACAAAAATTCACAAGCCAGTTCTTCATGAATCTTTCACACTTTGTGGTCCAAAACATAAACTACACTAAGGAAATGGAGTGCCTCTCTTCAAGGCATCTCATTGTTGGTTAGTCTGCAATAGTAAATGTTGCAATTAACAAAATTATTTCCTTGAAGAAGGAGAAATGTTTCAAGTTGACTGAGTAGAAAATCATTTAAAGAGAAGAATACAACATTTTTTCAAGATGGAGAATGCATCTGGTATTCTGAACAGGCTAAAATATTCAAGGGAATTGAGGTTACTCAGCACTCAGTAAGGTCAGACTCAAATTTGCGTGCATCAAGTACAACTTGGCCAGCACATCTGGTTTCACACTTATGTTCTTGTGGAAAGTAAAATGGGAGTTTGGCATAGAAAGAGTGTCGGACAGGAAAATGTTTCCCACCTTTTACTCAGCTGTTGCCTCTGCTGGACCTTAAGAGAGAGCGGGTGCTGCTGACTCAAAAATAAACCTAAGCAGCCATCATTTTTGCCTGCCAGTCTCTCATTTCATATTGGAAAAGCAACGTGAGCTATTAGATAAAAATGGGTTGAGAAACTTGGTTCTGTTCCTGACTTTTCCTTTCACCTTTTGTTTGACTTTGATCTTCACCTTCTGATGTTCCTGTTTCCCTATTTGTATTGGATATTAGGTAAAATTTCTTCGCCAAAAGGGTTGTGAAGCACTGAAACAGACTGCCCAGGGGAGTGGTTGAGTCACCATCCCTGGAGGTATTTAAAAGACCTGTAGACATGGTGCTTAGGGACATGGTTAAGGGTGGACTTGGCAGTGTTAGGTTAACGGTGGGACTCGATGATCTTAAAGGTCTTTTCCACCCTAAATGATTCTATGATTCTGCGGTTGATATGTTTCTTGGTAAAGGGCTTTGAAATCAACACATAAACAGAGCTAGATGGTAGCAGTACTGATGACAGGTCTGAACCTAGTGAGCTGCGGGAAATGTTCAATCATGATTTCTGTGACAAAAGAAATATGATGTTAGCTCCAATTCAGATTGATCTCCAGCACCTGGCTGGAGTGAGGACCCAGGCCAGGAGAAGAGATATTGTCACTGCAGCACCCACAATACATATCTGTGCCATTAACAAACAAACCACCTGGGCTTTAGCTCCCTCCCTCGTTACTCTCACCAGCTCCCAAAGTCTCTTTTCTCCAAGCCCAGCTTCACATGCTCAGTCTCCCGCGCTTCAGACAGTCGTGGCCTTCCTTCCCCTCAAGTCAATCAACACTTTGCCCTAGGAGTGCAAGTCATGGTTTCCCTCTGCCTTTCTACAATCCTCTTCTACGATCCATATCTTGCCTTCCACCCACTCTCTTACTCCACCTTTTGCATTCAGGTGACACATTTTCTCCGTACTGCCTGCACACCACTGGAGAGGTGACACAGACACCGGGCTGAAGACTAAGCTTGAGACTGTATTTGCTTTCGTTCTCAGTCCTGGCTGCCAATATTTCTGCCTGTGTGCTGTCCTACCTCTCCTTAACAAGTGTTGTACCTTAAATCTAATGTATACTCAGTTTATACCCATTAGATATCTTGCTGGTCACGAAGATCTTTCTGTCCTTGTTTCTTCTCAAAAAGGGATGAAAAACCGCTACTTCCCAAAGTACAGTGAGAGAAGCAAGTCAGTCTTCCATTGAGCTATTTCCTTTAGTTTATTTATTTGTTTTTCTTTCCCAACAGCTCTGGTTTACACACAGGTGACAGTGTTACAAAAACAGGACCTGTGGGCCTTCCAGACATGAGACAAGTGCCAACTGTTGTGATCGAATGCGATGACAATAAAGAAAATGTGCCTCATGAAACTGACTATGAAGATTCTTCCTGCCTCTACACAAGACAGGAAGAGGAGGAAGAGGAAGATGAAGATGAGGATAACTCATTATTTACAAGTAAGACTCATTCCATTTTTTTCCTTCTCGTTCATTTATTTTTCCCTCTGAACTCTCAGTACACAAGGGAAACACAAGGCCTGTGGATTTTCTTTCTTTTCCGTGGCTTTTGCATCTTTCAGGGCTTGCCTGCATGGGGACGCTTGGTAAATTAATCCAAAGTAACAAGTAGTATAAATTTATAGAGATTTCCCTAGTCCACACAAAACCCTGTCTGGGTAGCTCTCAGCTAGAATTCAAATGACTGGGTTTTGGCTTATATTAGTTCACTTCCAAATTGACTTTTGGATTCACTTTCCCAAGTGTCTGAGGTGTAGAGAAGCCCTGTCTTTGGCTTAATTCAAGATCAGCTCAATAGAGTTACTTCAGGAGGATGAAATAAGTGCCACTGAGAGAGAATCAGAGCTTTTATATGTAGTAAGTATTAAATCATGTCAGAATCGTAAGTCTGCACATACTTTGAAAGGGGTCATGATCAGAGAATCGGGCTCAGATAAGAAGAGGTTAATTGATAGCCATATTGCAATTACAGTCTGGAAAGGGACCTGTGGCCCCTTCCTGACCTGTCTGAGAAACCCATCTCCTGCCTCAGTGTGGCATCACCGGACTCTCCCATGAAGACAAGATACTTACTTTGTGTATGACAACTGCTTGTCATCCTGCAACTCGAGCTGAAGTTCCAGGCCTTTGGATTTCTTTTCTTCAGAAAACTGGGAGCAGAACAAACAAATGACACCCTTTTTAAAATACACACAAAAAAAGATTCTAAACCAGGCGTAATTCATCTCCTCAGAATCCTCCCTTACCCTGCAAGTGAAATTAAGCAGTCTTCGCTCGTAAATTAAGAAACAGAGCAGAACTGCACTATCTTGCACTCCCCTGCCAAAGCCCAAAACCTCTTATGGGTTCGCGTCTCTCTGTCTGCTTGCGTTTGTCTTGCCTGCTGAAACTGCTTTGGATGCAAACCTGGGAAAGCAAGCTTGAGCCGTGAAAGGCCACTGGTTTTCACCGTGTCTTTGCCACTGTCAGTGCCTGAGAAGCGGTGTCAATTAATGTACATAGAGATCTGTGCTGCTTCTGATTGACTTTTGATTCCTTCTAGTGCTAGCTTGGATGTCTTGATATTACATCGCAAGAGAGAGAAATACCTCTCTCTTTCCACATGCTGTAGCTCTGCTGCCTGCCCAGATTCTGAGGTTGAATTATTCATTCCATTACGTGGTTCAGAAACACTGTGCTAGAGAAAGCTACAGATGCTACTAGCAATTCTGAAACAACCCCTACTTCTCCACTCCCCTCTATGGAGCAGAATTTTAATTTCTTTTTCCTGTATACCTACCAAATTCAGCTTTTCCTTATTATGATATGAATTGAAGTTAATTGAGCACATGAAGTTAATTGACACCCCTTTTCCCACAGTCCATACCGGTGTAAATGACACCCTAGTATCCTCTCTTGGCTAGTACTTCTTTGCCTGCTGCATGCTGTAATGAAATGATGACACCTCCTTTGGCAGAGCCTCTCCTCTCTCCCACAGGCTCCCTGGCAATGAAAGTCTGCAGGAAGGACTCTTTAGCAATCAAACTAAGCAACAGGCCTTCCAAGCGAGAGCTGGAGGAAAAGAATATCCTCCCCATGCAGACTGATGAAGAGAGGCTCGAACTTAGGCAGCAGATTGGGACAAAGTTAACAAGGTAGGAGAGAAACATTTTTCTAACTCTTGCTTTCGGAAATATGTGGTGGGATGTAGGTTTTTATCCTTAGTCAGTAAACATTTGAGATCTGTTTGTTCACAATGTTCAAGAGGAAAAACCATGGGGGGGGAAAAAAAGACTAAACATTATTTCTGCTCCCATATAATTTCCCATACAATGCCCCATTTCATTTTCCTGGTGTATCCTATGGGATCTTTGGTTGTGTTAACTATCAGCATGAACTATGTGGATTTGGTGCTTTCAGTGCACCACTAGGAAAAGTTTAGCTTTGGTAACATTTTGAAATGTAGCTGCAGGTGCCATTCGGTAAGCTATTAGTTTGGCCAAAGGGCAGAGGCGTATCTTTCTCTTCTGACTGTCTCCCGTGAGTAGCCGAGTCTTTCCCTGATCAGAATACTCACGTCCTTCAGTATCTGCTTTTCCTGGGTCAGGTTGGACAGATTCACCCTGTCTAGACTCTTCCTTCTTCATAAGAGTGTTACTCACCAGCTGTTCTGGTTTTCTGTATTGCGTGGGGGTAGAGAGGGGTGGCCATTAAATGTGGAACATTTCTGTCAAGAATTAGTAAACTGAGGTCAGGTGGAAAGGTCTCCTATGCTCCAGCTATGATTTCTGTAATCAATTTAAGACCAGCCACTTGTTGAGAATTTTCTTGTGGGTTTTCTTGGGGTTTTTTTTTTTTGTCAGGGAGGGATAAGGGGAAAATACAGCTACCATGTTGTGGGGACAGGCAAAATAGGAGCTCCTGGTAAACACCTCTTTCAGCATTTTATCTACTTTTTTTTTCATGGCCTCGTTTATCACATCTTTGGAATAAACTGACCACATCTTTCTAGTTTGTCTTTGAAAGTCTTTGGGCTGGGTCATGCTTAGACTACTCCAAGACTGGTCTAATTCTTCAGCATGCTTGTTGAAGGGCCTCATCAGTAATGCTCAAAGTATGCGAGCTGGCTGCAGTGTTGCTGGTGCTGTGATTTTTCAGTCCAGTCTTTATTCAGCCTAATACCTTGTTAGACTGCAGCCGCCCATGGTGCTCTGGGTCCCAAAGAGCCGTGCATGATAGCAGGATCCCAGAGCTTATATGATTTATTTTGAACCCTTTTGAAGCATGCAAACAGTTGAAATTTTTGCCTCTTAGAAGTATCTTGCTGTACGCTGCTTGACCTTGCAATGACACTGAACAGCTTTTCCACTGTGTTGCCCATTTGCCTAAATTACTTAGGTCTCTCAGAAGTTTTACAGCTCTGTCTGGTTAAGGTAAATAGTGTCATTTGCAAACATTGACTCTGCACAGCTCACTGTGCCCCAGGTGTTTTTTGTTATAAATATTTTATATCTCACCTCTCCAAAACCTGCTTTTTTCCCCATTAAAGAATGTTTCTTCAGCATATCTCTTTTTAACAATGGAAACTAATTTTGGCAATACACAGAACCCTTCCTGTGTAAGCTCCATATTCTCACAATGACGGTTTTAGTTTGGTTTTTTTTGTTTCCCCAATTGTATCTCTGCTTATTCAGTCTGAGGTATAATGCTTGATCTTGTCTTCTAATATAGCTAGGACTTAGGGGCAATCACAAATAGTTCAAATAATTAAAATTGTGTATATATGAGCTCAAAAAATAGCTGAGCCACTGCTGTTCCAGTCCCGTTTTACACCAGTGCAACATCACTGGAACTGGTAGAACTTCACAAGCCTTATCTGGAATAATATAGTTGCCAGTCTGACCTTTTAATTACTAGTATTTACAACTTAGTATCTTATCCTTTTGAGTAGGTAAAAACAATCAAGAAATATGGGGAGAAAATAACTTTCTTCATCTCTAATATGCAAAAAGCCACAGACATTTCAGCAGCAAAAAGGAAGGTAGCTGTCTTACCAGTGCTTTGTATCTAAATGTCATGTATCTGTGTGCACAGACTGATGAATATTAGATTGAAACAGACAGAATATTTCAATTTGGACAGTATTTCTTTACTGTCCAGGCTTCATTACTGAATCCATCCTTTGCCATTGCTCAATAATTGTCACACAGTGATGCAAATGCCAAGCAAAATTAAAGTAGCGAAGCATTTATAGTCCTTAGAGAAAATGCTAGATGCAGACTATAATTGCAGCTGGCAATTTTGGACTTCAGAGGGATTTGTACTGTTCCACCAATGGTCCTCTATGGTTTAAAATAGCCAGCCAATGAAATCAGATCTGCTGCTTACACAAGTGAAAAATGCAGAATAAAAACTTCAGCAAATAGTTATTGTCTGTAATGGATCAATTAATTTTCACCAAGAGGCTGATTAGGATACTTCAGTATTTATGCATAATCCTCACAGTATTTAGTTTGGAAGAGCTCATTGGCTGCCACACTTGGCAGGTTAGAATTTAGTACTATAAAGAGAACATCCTTTTTAAAGATGCTTATAGCCAGGCATATTGAGAGATTGACCATTGACATATTGTGTGGGACCAAAATCATCCCAGGTGTAGTTCCTCCAGCCTTATTAGAGTTGCACGAGGAATCAATTTGGCTCAGAACTGTTTGTTCAGATCCTGTTTAAATGTAGCTTGGAACCTCTGAACCTCCAGTTAGTCCCAGAAAATTGTTATGACTTTATTATTGCATCCGCCAACTGGTAGAGAGCCTCCGGAGCAGACTTCACCATGTTGTCTGTTTCCCACGCTGGGAGAGTAGCGCCTTGATTTACACCAGACCAGTCGTAAGGGTGAGACTGCGAAGACTCTATCTTATAGCAGGATCTGGCCCACTACATGCCTAAATATTAGCTCAGCCACCAGTCAAGTTAACACTTGTGCCTGTGATAGAAACACTTCACATGCATGTAGTGCTTCGCTGGTGCGTATCCTGTATCATGGCTCAGCACGTGTAGATCCAAGCAAAAATGGAGCTTTTTGCCCAAGATGGTAAAATAGATCCTAGCAAAGGCAGAAGAGCCCACATCTTGTGAATTCCAGCCACGTGAATAGGCCACTGCACCATAGGCTATTTCTAGGCAGTCTTTACACAGCGGTTACAGCAACTAATTAGAAGACCTCCTCCTCTAACCAAACCAGAATGGACTACTCCAAAACATGATACCTACTATGAAGCAAGGATCAAAAATCATGGAATCATAGAATCATAGAATGGTTTGGGTTGGAAGGGACCTTAAATATCATCTAGTTCCAACCCCCCCTGCTGCGGGCAGGGACACCCTCCACTAGACCACGTTGCCCAAAGCCCCATCCAACCCGGTCTTAAACACTTCCAGGGAGGTGGCATCCACAACCTCTCTGGGCAATCTGTTCCAATACCTCACCACTCTCACAGTAAAGAATTTCTTTGTGACATCTAACCTAAATCGACCCTCCTTCAGCTTGAACCCATTACCCCTTGTCCTGTCACTACGCTCCCTGATAAACAATCCGTCACCATCTTTCCTGTAGGCCGCTTCAGGTACTGGTAAGCTGCAATTAGATCTCCCTGGAGCCTTCTTTTCTCCAGGCTGAACAGCCCCAACTCTCTCAGCCTGTCCTCATAGGAGAGGTGCTCCATCCCAAAATAATGAATTAAGATTCAGAACTTCCAGCTCATAACCACATGTGACTTGGGATTAGGAAATGGATGTTGGAGGCCATGTTCTTGGCTGCTACAACTCCATTAACTTCTACTCTGAAATGCAGACCTTCGTGCTAGGTAAATCTTTTAAGTGGGTATGGTTTGCTTTTTTTTTCCCTGCCTGCTCAGCTTCTCCCAAACTCCTCCTCCATTTTATCACTCTGGTGCCTGCACAACTTCACAACTGCTCAAGAAGTGTGTATAAGTGATCATAAGAAAGAGAGAAGAAAACAGCAGGAAAAATAGGACTCTGAAAGTTAACAGGCAGAAGGAAAAGACAGACTTCTGCCTGTCTCTCTGGCTGTGTTGGACCTGCTGGGAAGCACTGGTCAGGTTATTAAGGTTACAACAGGGGGTGGGAGGACCTGGATTTAGCTTTCAGTGGCTATCAGGGTGAGAGGAGTGGGGCATATCTGGGCTATGACTGTGAAGCAAGGACTCCGACAGTCTCTGGATCTGAGCTTGGAGGTTCTCCCAGGGGCAATGGTAAAGGCATGGCCTGTCAGGAGCCCCTGGTGAGGAGAAGGGCCAGCACTGATGGGTGACACACAGCAGAGCCGCACCTCTCCCAGAGACTGCGGGACTATCCCCTGGTACTGAGATGGGTCATTCAGTGCCGGTCCTTGCACTTCTTTTTCACCAAGGAACCGTAATGGTGGTCATAAGAGACCACACAGACTTCCTCAACCAACATATTATTTAGTAAGCACAAAAGCCCTTTAGAGAAAATGTATCTATAGATTTCTGTATAGCTAGCTATATACTACACTAGGCTTTGCTGAGGGCTTTGCACTCTCTTGAACTGGGAAGACCTGTTTTCTTTGCGTGTCTTTCACAGTGTCTCCCTCATACCTTGAGACAGACTAGGACTGATCTGCCACACATCCTATGAGAGAGGCTTTCTAAAGCACTCAAGTCTTTTCTGAGTCTCTTAACCCCCCAACTCTAGCAGAGGTGCTCGTTAACAATTAGATACAGGAGTATTAAAGCCGAGAGTTTGGTCCTCTGCTTTTCAAGGATGCATGGCAGTGTCCTTATCTGTTTTCCCTGAATTGCTTCCATCCTGGCTTTTCCCACCTGCTGGAATAGGATGATCTAATCATACAAAAAAATCTGGTAATCCAGTATTATTATCATCATCATATTGCTAATAATGAATATTAAGGGAACTTCTTCATATTCACAATAGTATTACTGGTCAGCATCATGTCTATCTCATCAGGACACTCCTACCCACCTCAGGGCACAGGGCAGGCTGGCTGCAGGTCACACCAAGGCTGTCCCACAGGCGAGCAGTGCATGTCAGGGGACTGCTGCCCATCACTGGCAGGTGCCACAGGTAACTGAATAAGATTTTGCAGCCCAAT